CTAAATGTGAGTGGGATAGAGGATGCCTTCTGAGAGTCTATGGGTACAGCTGCCCCACAGCCCTTCTGAGAGAAAGAAAACCAGGAAACGGATTCCCACGGGGCCCAGTGTAATTTCCCTTCTGGAAAATTGGAAAACCCGGTGTTGAATTTACTCTAGAACCAGTAGATCACAGAAGCTCAAAAAGTCTGTCAGTACCCTGAGAAAAGTTAAAAACACCCAGGGCTCAGCTTTCTCGCAGCGGCCCAGCAACTACGGACCAGAGAGGTGCAGTGACTTGTCCAGGGTCACTACATTTCCTAGCAAGGCTCGGTGCTTCTCTCCTGGGTTCCGGCAAAGAACGCGCGGTGAAAAGAAGACCCCGCCCTAAGTCCCTACCCAGAAAACGCCCTCTAGGCGGTGACCCTCCCGCCACCCTCGGGAGGGAGCCCCGCACCGACAGAAGCAACCCCGCTCACCCTGCCGCTGGCTGACGCGACAGCCAGCATCGCCAGGAGCGCGCAGAGCACGATCACCAGCAGCAGCAGCAGCAGTGGGTACTGCTGGCTCAGGCTGTAGTAGGTCTCGTAGAAGAGATCTTCGCTGGGGGGCGGCCGGGGACTGAAGAGGCGAGCCATAGTCCTCCCTGCCCCGGTGCCTAGCCGGGGTGGAGGGCGGACCCCGGGCTGGGGAGGGCCAGGTGTAGCGTTACTGCCTGTGGCCGGTCCGGACCCCAGTTGTGCCTCTCTCACTGGGTCCAAGCCACTTCCACCCCGTTTCCCCAGCCTCGCGGCAATCCCATCCACCAGGCACTCCCTGTAGCCTCCCAGCCTTTTCTCAGTTGACTGTGAGAACACTGCCCCATCTTTCGCTCCTCCCCCCCTCAAACCCAGACCGCAGAGATGCCCTAGCAAAAGCCTCGTCTCCGGGAGAAGCAGGATTTGGGATTGAAGAAAAGGAGCCTCGAGGTCCTCCCTCCGCCCCCCAAACTCACTGCCCGCGATTCTACCGCGGCTTGAATGGGCCAGGCCCGAGGAGGAAGCCCAGGACAGCTGGTGGTGGAGTCCGGATCGACCGCCGAGAAGCTAGTGGCACAGAGCCCCAGGCAGCAGGCGCTTCCCTCCCGGCGCCGGCCCCCTCCCACTTCCCCGACGGGACTGCCCGGCCCCTTCCCGTGCCGAGGCGGACTCCCCAGGCCTCCTCCCTCCCTCATTGTCTCCCCTAACACCGTCGTTGCCTTCGCCCTTCAGCTCCCTCCAGAAAGGCAATGCAACCTTGGGAGAGGCGAGGGGTTGGGCCAGGCTGTGCAGCAAGTGTCAAAATGGGGGTGGAGCCCTTGGGCACGGGGGAGAATGGAGGGCTAGAGTGAAGGCTAGCCAGAATGTAGGGAAGAGGGGGCGCCTGGGTGGCTCAGTGGGTTAAAGCCTCTGCCTTCGGCTGAGGTCATGATCCCAGGGTCCTGGGATGGAGCCCCGCATCGGGCTCTCTGCTCAGCAGGGAGCCTGCTTCCTCCTCTCTCTCTCTCTCTCTCTCTCTGCCTGCCTCTCTGCCTACTTGTGATCTCTCTCTGTCAAATAAATAAATAAAATCTTAAAAAAAAAAGAATGTAGGGAAGAATTTGGGGCAGAATGGGGCTAGGATTTAGGTTGGAATGGAGGGTTGGGGTGCGCCCGTTCCCCTCCCCCTCCTGACTGGGTGCAGCTGCTGTGGAACCTTAGCTTTACATTCCAGACACCAGCTGAGAGTCAAAGGGCTCCGCCTGGGAAGCAACGAGCCTGGGAGTGTAGGTAGTGAGTGCTTGTGGTGGAGGGAAATAAGTATGCCGGCTGACCTCTGAGAGGCTGGGGGCACTGGGAGGCAAAAGATGTGCCGCAGTCTTCCAATGCCCAGAGAGAGCCCCCTCCCCAGAACCCCACTGTGGCCTCTCCGTAGCCCAGAGGAAAAGCGAGGCAGTGAGGCTATCCCCAGGTTTTTGGTTTAGGGTGGGGTCTCACCCGATCCAGAGGAAGTGCGCTGCCCAGAGATTACAGCAGCCCCAGGAGCCAGGCCTCCTGGATTCCTTCCTGCTGCCAGCTGGGCCCTGACCTGGTGTGCCACGCCTGCCCACCCCCAGCCCTGAGCATCCCGCTTCCGGCCTCAGCGAGAGGGCAGGGCCTCTGCCTCCCTCCGTGTCAGTTCTGTGGTCTCCCATACAGGTCTCCACCAACCGCCCCTAGCCTAAGCCTTAGCCTCTCAAGTGTGGTGCTTTGGTTAAAAATCCATCAGGTTTGGGGCTCCTGGGTGGCTCAGTCCGTTAAGTGGCTGCCTTCAGCTCAGGTCATGATCCCAGGGCCCTGGGATTGAGTCCAACATCAGGCTCCTTGCTCAGAGGGGGCTCTGCTTCTCCCTGGCCTACCGTTCCCCTGCTTGTGCTTGCTCTCTCTCTCTCTGTGTCAAATAAATAAATAAAATCTTTTTTAAAAATCCATCATATTTATTGACTTCCGTGTGCACAAATCAGTTGGCCTTCAAAGAAAGTCTCAGCTAATTACCTCACATCCAAGAGGTAGCTCAGAAGTTGCATCATACTGGCCCTGCCACCGGCCTGCTCCAGGCTTCTTGGTTCTTGCGGCTCTCCTTTCCAACCTACTTGTGTGGGGCACGCGGCCAGCCTCGACCCATGCCCCAGGGCGCCAGGCCTTGCGTTGGCAAAGCAGTTCCTTTTTGTATAACCAAGTAGTTGTTGTCTCCCACCTGCACCGCGTGGCTGTCATGTATGGTAACAGGGTTACCTTTAAGAGAAATTGTGGTGTTGGTGGGATGGTTAACTCAAAATTAGGAGCAGCAGCGGGGTGGAGAGGCAGCGGCACCTTGTGTCCATCCTGGGGAAATGCAAGTATCTCTAGGGCGGCCTGTGTCTGTGTCACATATGCCTTGGGCGTTCACCTTTGTGCTGCCCCTTCGAAACCGGGTTTGCAGAAGCTCAGGAGTGGCAACTAATACCTGAGACCCTGATATTTGGTTTTTTTCTTCTAGGAGCCCCTCTGGACCAACATAGCAATGGTGGAAATTAGGGAGTCACAGAGCTGGTTCTGGGGAAAGTCGGAAAGCCCAGGGCAAATCCAGACTTTGCTGTGTGACCCCAGCAGGACCCAGTCCCAGCAGGTGTCAGTTTCTTCATTTATGACATGAGAAGCTTGAGGTAGGTGGCCACTAGCCCTTTCTCCCTCCTGCTACCTAAGGTACCCCGGATCTATAGACGGTCTTGAGGAAGAAGCCACTGGAAGAATTGAGCAGGAGAAAGGAGGAGTGAGGAGCAGGTACCTGGTATTGGATTGGGCCGTGGTGCCCTGGGAGACCAGTTGGTGCTATGTCTCTCAGCCCCCTGCGAACAACACAGCTCTCTTAGGTTCCCTGTCCTGGGACTAGTTCCCATGCTGCATTCCCCTCAGGCCCAAGTCTTCCCTGGCAAGGGGGACAGGATTCATGGGAGTCCTAGTGCATCCCTTAGTCCTGCCAGTGTCTCACCTGATTCTCTGCAGGTCCACGACCTGGGGTCCAAGCCAACTTGGCGCTGGGTACCCAATTTCTTAAAGGTGAGGTCTCTGGAGTCTGGGGAGATGGGGCTGTTGAATCGAAAGGCATCCCTGCTATCTGGGCAGGCTGAACCTTGTCTCTCTGTGCCCTGATCCCCTCGGGAAGGTTTGTACATTTTTTAGGAACAGAGCTGGGGAACTCCTTCAGATTTAGTTTGTTTAGCATCTCCGTGGCTATGATGTCATGGCTTCCTGTGGTTCCCCTAGGGCCTTCCGTTTCTGTCCCTTCTGGGCCTGGCTTAGGTGAAGATGACATCCTGTTGCTGCCCTGGTTTTCATGCAGGAACTTCTTCACCTGCAAGGACATAGGGAGCTTTCTGGGCAGGGAGGTGGGAGAGGCAGCCTAAACCCAAGAGAGGAGTGTCTTGGTCCATAATCTATTACCTGGGAACTCAGTGGTGAGGTGGGGAGAGTGAGGACAAAGAATAAGGCACAAAGAACAGTGGCCAGTGAGGAGGCATCGCGTGGCCAAGGGAGCCATGTCACGCCATCCTTGCCCAGCTCCTGGGTTGGGGGGGGTGGCATTGGACACTCACCGTGGAGACTGCGGCATCTATCTCCTTGTTTACCAGGTTGAAGGCTTCCTCGGTGTTTGGTCGGCATTCTGGAGACAAGGCAGAGTGGGTGGTAGGCATATGAGCCAGACTTTCCCAAGGAGAAGCCCCTTGCTGACAGATCCAGGCCTACCCTGGCTGCCAGCTAACTGGCAGTTCACCTTGAAGTTCACTTGAACTGCCAGTTCACCTTGGAAGGAGGGCCTGTCCTTGGGCTCCTGGCTCCAACAGTGTTGCATTAACTCCTTCAGTCCTGCCAAGCCAGGAGTCTCAGTGCTGGGTTGGGGTAGCTTGGTCAGTGGGGGCCGAATCTCACACCCTGCTTCCTGCTCAAGTGATGTCCCAGACACTGCTGGAGTGGGGGTGGGGGATGCAAAGAGAAGACATTCAGGGTAGGAGGGGCCACTTGCTGCAACGTGGAAGCCAGAAAGGAATGTAGTCCAAGGGGAGGTGAGGAGAAAGTCAGGCAGTCTGAGTGGGTAAGCTGGAAGAAGAGGGCTTTGGAGACTTGCAGAAGGAGGGCACCCAGAGTTAAGGATCCCAGTGTCTGCCCAGAGTCTTACTTTCAGCTTCTCTTCCAGCTAGCACTGCCCACATTAGGATCCCGAAGCTGCAGGAGACACAAAGCTGAGGCCTGGCCCAACTGCTGGCAGAGATTCCTTCCCAACACACAGCCCCCTAGAAGGGCCCAGAGAGGTACAGAAGTGTGGAATGTGTGTTTGGAGTGGGTACCTTACCTGTAGACATCACTAGCCATGGAGGCCTTTCGGTTTACATCAGACAACAGTTCAGGGGCCAAGTAGGCTGGCTCTGGGGAGTCAGCCCCTGACCTTGAGCCTCTCTGAAATGTGGACAGGCCAAAATCTGCCAGCTGTAAAAGGAAGAAAGAGGGAGAAGGTAGAGGATGGACAGGGCCAGGCAGCTTCCATAATCCCTTCTCTGACCACAAGGTGCAGGTCCAGACTTATAAAGGGGGTTTTGAGTGTTAGGGGAATGGTAGAACTAGTGGGACCATTGGGTTGGAGGTCTGGGTCCCCTCTTCAAGGGGTTAGGTCAAGGTCTAAGTCTCCCAGGCAAGGTTAGCCATGGGTCTTTGGACGGAATGGTGGATGGGCCTGTGGAACTGACCATATGGATCAGGGTTGCTCACACCTGGCAGGGTAGGGGCTAAAGCTCCTGGTTGGGCTTTGACCCTCAGCAGCGCTGTGTCCAGAGGGAGATCCTGGGGGTATGGAGTCGAGAGGGCTGGGGGTATGGAGTCGAGAAGTTCTGTGCCCAGAGACTGGGCTGGTATATGGATAGGCTGACCTTGGCGTGCAGGTCTGAGTCCAGCAGGACGTTGGAGGGCTTGAGGTCCCGGTGTAGGAGCACGGGGTTCTGGCTGTGCAGATAACACATCCCCAGGACCAACTCCTGCAGCAGGCGGCAGAGGAAAGGCCAGGGCCGAGGACAGTGGGGCTGCAGCAGCCCTGCCACGGAACCATTTTCCATGAACTGAGTCACCAGAGCTGGCCCACAGGCGGATTCCCACTGGAGCTCCTGGGTGACCCCCAGCAGGAGCAGTATGTGCTGGTTACGCAGACTTGCCATGGCTTTCACCTCCCTGGATATCGCCTTCCTACACTCCAGGAAAAGGGTTGGAGTCCCACCCCTTACGCCTGGAAAATCCCTCCCCTCCCCATGCACGCCTGCAGCGCCTCGCCCCCCATTCCTTGGGCAGACCCTGGGAGGCCCACAGCTCAGGTCACTCACCCCTTCAAGATCTTGACAGCCACATCTAAACCCCACGTCCTGTGTCGCGCCCGGAACACCACCCCGA